CATGACTGTAAAAGTAAGTAGAGTCCTAAAAACTGTTAGGCTTATCATATTTAGATGTGCGTCCTAATACTTCTCGAGGATAAATACTAGAGATGAAACGGATAGTTGTTTGGCCGGATACCGGATACCGGATATCCGGCGAGCTGTTAGGCCGGATAGCCGGATATCCGGCGGCCGGATAGTTGTCCCATTGTCATGTTGCATGTCGTAACGAGTTTAGCGCCGCACAGGTGCTTCTAACGCGATCAGTGGGTCTAGTAGACAACACAAGTCACACTTTTCGAAAATCGAATTCGTTCGAATAGAATGTCAGATTTTGCCACTAGTCTAAGGGGCAGATCAATTCGGGCGATTTCGGTTGCCATCGTAAGTATGTGATTGAATAGCGAAAATTCAATTAGTTTACTTGCTGCGTAATCTGACTGAACTGCATTATACAGGGTGACTTTGAAATCGTTGGCATTCTTTTTAAAATAAGACTTTACTCATGATTCCCCAAATATGAGTCATATCAAATGAATTAAAATGTCAATATTTGAAATCTTGTACAGACAGCACATCAATCTTCATACTGTATTACTGTGGCATCTTATTTCAATGTATTAAGTGCTACAGAAATGAGGAGATCCGTAAACGAACCAAAGTCGCCGACATAGCCCGACGGATTAGCAAGCTGAAGTGGCAATGGGCAGGGCACATAGTACGCAGATCTGACGGCCGATGGGGCAGATAGGTTCTGGAATGGAGGCCGCGTACCGGAAAACGCAGCGTGGGACGTCCACCTACAAGGTGGACCGACGACATCGTAAAGGTAGCAGGGAAGCGCTGGACGCAGGCCGATCGATCAACATGGAAAGCATTGGGGGAGGCCTATGTTCAGCAGTGGACGTCCTATAGCTGAAATGATGAAGTGTTATTTTGCAACCAAATGTATAGGATGATGTGCTGTTGACTGGACAATAGTTTTAAACTCTTTTTAAGAGCACACTAATACAAATACATAGTTAAAATAATGTCAAAAAATCTCATTGGATTTGTCTCATATTTGGGGAATGGGAATCGCGCATATCAAGACCAACGGCGTGGAATAGAGTGGGGTATAATCGGAGTCTTAGAAGACTTAGATTATGCCGATGACCTCTGTTTGCTGAGCCACACGCATCACGATATGCAATCCAAACTTGATGACCTACATCGAGAAGCGGGTATCACAGGGCTCAAAATTAACTGCCGGAAGACCCAAGAGATGCGATCTGGTGTGAGAAATTGCACGCCATTACGGATTGGTGCAGAGGATGTGGCACGAGTCCACAATTTCACCTACCTCGGGAGCGTCGTGTCAGAAACTGGAGGTACCGAAGAGGACATCACTTCGCGCATTGCCAAGGCCAGAGCTACCTTCGCACAACTTCGCCCCATATGGCAGTCACGGAAATTGACCCGAAGGGTCAAGATCAAAATATTCGGGTCCAACGTTAAATCCGTTCTGCTCTATGGGTGTGAAACGTGGAAGGTCACCAAGGTTATCTCGCACCAGCTGCAGGTCTTCATCAACCGCTCCCTTCGCCGAATTCTCGGCATATACTGGCCCGAGAAAATCTCCAACGTCGAGCTATTGGAACGCTGCCACGAAATTCCGATCGACCAGCAGATCAAGCGCCGCAAGTGGAACTGGATTGGTCACACTCTCCGAAGGGACCCCGATCGCATCCCTAAGCAGGCTCTGGATTGGAATCCCCAAGGAAAACGCAAACGTGGTCGACCCAGGCAAACTTGGCGGCGCACTGTAGCGGACGAGGCGAAGAAGATCGGCAAGACCTGGAGCGAGATCAAGCGAGAAGCTCAAGACCGAACGAGATGGAGGACTGTTGTGGACGCCCTCTGCCCCATCTAGGGGACATAGGACCATAAGTCAAAAGTAAGTCAAAGTGGGGAATGCACTATGTATCATGAGTCTTTATTAAAAGGATGCCAACAATTTCAAAGTCACCCTGTATGTGATCAGACCATCAGTGAAAAAAAGATCGCCTATTTTATTTGGCAATATTTCGACAATAAAATATATTTACTATTTATGTATTCGTCATTAGATAGAGTGAATAGCCCAGAAAGGAAATTTTGAAAGGCCTTAATATGGCTTTTTTGTAACTTTTTGGACTTTAGATAAAAACCGTCATTATTATAAGCCATTTAATTGATATTTAACTCAAAGATTAATGTGTTTCATTTTATTATAGGAAATTTTCGTAGTCTTTTAATATCCGGTATCCGGCCGGATAGTGAGCTACTATCCGGTATCCGGCCGGATAGTAAATTTAGGCCGGATATCCGGCCTACCGGATAGTTGCCGGATATCCGTTTCATCTCTAATAAATACTAAAATATTTTAAAAGTTAAACATAAATTAAATATGGTACCTAAGCTACATTATAGCCTCTTTTGTAATAACTCCAAAGTAACAAACTTTCAAACACCTTCAGAATGTAATTTACACCATTACAACATGCTTACTTCGCAACAAATAATTTGAATTTGAACCGACGAACAACTTCATTGTAAAGTTAACGCGATTTAATTATAACGGCAACTCAATTAATATTTAATTCAACTTTACTTGTAATTCTCTTGAAGTATTAAGTTTTCATCATCAAACCGTTGTGTTAAACGGCCTTATTTCCTGAGGCGTAGAGTTCAGAATGTGGGGTGTGCCCCAGTTTCGGATTTTGCAAAACACATGTGGTTCCGAGTACGCGTAACCTAAACATTACACCGCAGACGGTTGCAAAGTTTATGATCTCAGACTTGAGTATATTAAGTGTGATTTCACCATATTTCACTGCTTGAAATTATGTAAAAGAAGCCCTCTTTCTTCAAATAGGTAGAACTAACAATCCATCCTGACTCCGCACGGGTCACTAGGTATAGGTAAATTATCTATGATGTCCATTGAAAGAGCTACCTAAACCAATCACGACTAATTGAATACATTTCATTTATAGTAATAGTTACGATATGAAACGTTCAGTTTAAGTTACTGAAAAAACTCATCAATATAAATATTGAAGTTCCTGTTTAGTGCGTAATGTGTTAACACAATGTGTATTTAACTGTTTGGCACAACACAATATTGGCACGGTACATATTTAAAAAAAATAAAAAATAATAATAAACACATGTACACTTACAGCTTACAGTCATTCATACCGATAAGGGATATCATGGGACATGAAGGATTTAGGTAGATATACCCGTACTTTTATGACGTGTTCTTTGGTCGTAATCAGAATCAAATAAATTCACATTTGAATTCAAATTATTTCTAATATGTAGACCTTTTTCAGGGCACATAAACACATCAAGTTATTGTGGTTAAGACCTTGTCTATTCTTTGTGTACAGTAGGTCTCATAACGGGCAAGATTAAGAGATACAGTATGACAAATGGACACAAGAGTGGTATCAATAAGGTCTCGTTTGGCACTCTTTGAACACGGCACCCTAGTAAAACAAACTCATAAAACGCATTTTATTTTTGCAAGTGCTTTTAAAAAGAATTTTTACACGTTCCAGTATTAACCCTACCACTGCAGTGACAATAAATGGGCCAGAGCTGAAAAGAAAACTCCGGAATGCACCATTTCCGCCTAGTCTGCGGCCTGTAAAGTGGAAATTTTCAAGAGGCCTGACTCACTCGTAGGTACTCGGAATCGATTGCGATCGATTTTACTGCACCACAAAGCTAATTTCGATCGCCATGACTTGCCGTGAATGATTAAACACGCCACTACAGTCTGGCTTTGTTTTCAAACTACTTAGGCAGTTGAATCATCTTAATGTACCTTTGACAAACGTCAAAAATCTGTCAAACTCCATAGAAAAAGCACCGGTTATTGTATTGTTACGTTTAACATAAGGTGGTGCAACTCAGCTTATAATAGCCATTCCTGTGAAAGCATTTCCATATTCCCCCCTTTTACAAAAAAGAGTATAAAAAGTATGTTTATATCCGTTGTCTAGTACCCATGCCATAGTGCAAGCTTCTGGGACTAGAGGCGTAGTGTTAAGTGTGTATTTATTATTTATTTGTTATGTCAATATTGATACTCGTTCCAAAACCGCAAACATATTAGCACATTTTAGAACATTAAGCCCTATTGGAACCACTTTCATCATTAGGCCCCATTTCAACACGAACACAGAGACATTAGGACGACACATAATTACCGATAACGCTATTATTATAACTTGTTGAATGACAGCAGATAACGACACTAAATATTTTCCTTAATTTTAAAACTCATTCGTTACTTTGCGACGTTGATGTGCGAAGATAAAACGGCATGGATGTGGTATCTCGAATTTGTACATTTCAAATGTCACTTTCATCTGTACAAGTAACGTTTTGTATCTGATGTATTATTTAGCAGATCTAAGTCAAGCTGTGAAATTAACAGTTGTCTATAAATATTACATTTTCAGTAGATTAAGTTGGAAGCTCTAGGCCTATATCTCACTTGATGGTAAGTGATGATCAGGCCGAAAATGGAAGCGAACTTCACCCGGAATCCTCAACCACAGAGGAACTGGCTATCTTACCTCTAACTGCCGAAACACAACAATGCTGTTAACATTTTTGTTATGGCGACAGATTTAGGTAATATGGTGGTAGCTAGCCAGGCGGACTTAAAACAGATCCTGCCACCAAACAAACCGAACAAAAAAATCTACCCCACTGGGAATCGAACCCAGGACCTCTGCATCTGAAGCAGGTGGTCTTACCTCTACACCACAGAGGTCCTGTTATAAAATATGCAAGCAACTGCTCGAACCACCAGCTCCTAACGAAACTGGTGTCAAAGTGACATGTCCAAACAACTTAAAATTTCTAACATCACGCCTCTAGACGCACTATCGCAAGTCTGGCGATTAAAGGGCGTAACTAACGACCGTGTGATAACGCGCGATAACTAATCTCATTCCATGCCCGCTCCTCGCGAGCGCACTCGTACATCCGTGGTCATTCCATTTTCAAATCCTCGAAATTTCAAATCTATGTTTTTTTTATTACTTTTTATTGCCAGTTAGTGCTTAGTTTTTTCATCTTCGGTCGTTCGTTTATATCGAAAGTGTTAAATTCATTTTTATGACTGCCAGTTATGTGCGTTATTTATAAACATTTGAATAACAGACAGTATCAATGGGACTCATTTCTATGCATTGGTTCGTTGAATTATCGTTAAAATGGTAGCTGCGAGGTATCGTTGATTGTGCAAGGCGGTTAAATAGTGTTAATTTAATTTTGTTTGGTTGCTTGTTAAGTGAAATTATGAAGCCGGGCGAGTCGCGCCGCGGTTCGCGCGCGAGTCTGTTCGCCACTGAAGTGATGGGCAGCGTCAGTGTTCCGAATTTAAGCATCGATCAGATTACAGGTACGATTGTTTTCGACATCAAAACACAGGTATTAGGTATTCGACTGATAACATGTGCTAGTTTAAAAATAGTACGTGACTGGACGTGGGTATGCACTTTTTATTTGTGTTAGTAGTGACTTCCGAATTGATACGGTGATTAGTTTCCTTTGATTTGGTGTTACGCGTACAGTGTTGTTAATTAAGTAAAATTGAAGTTAGTTAAAATGATTCTTCATTTCCAAGGTAATGAACTTAGTTATAATCAAGTTTCAAAAGAAAAATAAAAGATAGACCGGCAGGTAAGTATTTATTTTGATGAATTTTCTACTGCTCGTTTATCTACTTAGGTTCTAGTTTCAATTTCAATAAAAGTATAATTTGCGACTGGCCATCCAGAATATTGAGAGAAAAGAAATAAAAGATCAAACAAAGCTTTGTCGTTTGAATTTGGAACACTTTGAAAAGAATTTATTTAATTAGTTATGTATTGTGTTCAATACTTACGAAAAAGTGGAAAAGGCCTATATGTCTCATCCTGAATCAGTGCTTAAGCATAATAAAGTTTAAGACGCATTTTCCCATGGCTTATTTTTCTTGTTTTATGTGTACCAACCGGATATTGTTGAAATCATTAGGGGAGGCCTATGTTCAGCTGTGGACGTCCTATGGCTGAAATGATGATGATGATGATATTTCATGTGTTCAGCTTTTGTGTCGGTAGACTGAGGATAGGAAGCTGGGTTAATTTCAGCTACCCACCTAATTGAAGCAACCACGTTCCATCTTTTTGGCCCTCTAAATGTGATGTTTTAAAGTTTTTGAAACGAATAAAATGTAAGCAGAGTGCACTTAGGCAAGTTTTTGTACGTAGCTATGCATTGACAATTAGAGCAGTAACGTCATGAAGGTAATTACTGCAATGAGGTCAATGACCGGTTCCTAACGTGTCTAGAAATGAGTTGTTTAGAATTTTGTACATTTTGTATCATTTTAAACCAAACAGTATTATATGCTACGAGTATATTACTATTACACGCTATTCAAAACAAACCTAATTTCTTAACACCCTCTTTCTTGCAAAAAATCCTGTTTTTATTAAAGGCACACTTACGAAATAAGAACTACATAATTTCAATTATCTTTTTATTGTTATTTATTTAAAATCTGATTTTCAATTATGTTTATGTGTACAAGTAAATGAGTAGGTAAAGTTATTCAATCACACCTAGTCTTGGCCAATTTCGTGTTCACTAACTGTTTCAATACTCAATGATTATGTTTCGAAATGCATTTATTTATTTTATGCGTGAAAGTCGTTGTAAACTGTGTTTCCTCATCACGTTGAGTTTATCTAAAGTGGTTTCTACAAATACTTAACTACTAGGAAAACAGATTATGTTAATTTCATCAATTTTTTTATTGGTATTTCCTGTGCAATATTATTTTGTGTGAAAATGACTAAGTACGTATACAGAATTGAATTGTTATATTGCGAATAAGTATTTCAATTCCCGCCTTAGGCAGTTCGATTTTTTCAAGTTGTTTATAATTTTCAAATTAGTTTGAGATGCAAAACTCTTAATGTTAAAAAATTAAATAACTAAGTAGTAGTAGTAATTTTAAGTTTCGTTAGTAATAAGTAAAAGTTAAGTTACAATTCCGACCACAGTGCATACCGTGGCAGTCTTTAATTAAAGTTCTAAGTTGAAATTTACTTTTCTTTTTGTTTTAATTCGTATTTTTTTTGTGTTGAGCGGCTATTCTAGTTCAATAAAGTCCTAGTACCATTGCTACCGGTATCGATCTATTGTGATTGCCACTATTTTTCTTGCAGTTCGCTTTTGAGTCCTGCATCAATTAGGTAGAGCAGTAATTTTTGATGTATTTTATTCGTAATGTACTTGTCAGTTTACCATATAAATAATGTTGGTAGATACATATTCCTTTTAAAAGAACAAGATAAAACTAAAACCCCCAATTTGTATCAACTTAAAAAGTTTTATCACACAATAAAGAATCGGGGCGCTTATTCGCTATACGAGGGGCGGCTGAAAAGTTTTGAGCCTTGGGTATTAAAAATGCCGATAGAAAAGTATAAAAAATATATTGTTCTATTTAATCTCCCTCTACTACAACGCACTTCTTACATTTGTGTAAAAGAGCTTTTAACTCACTGAAAAAAAATTCGCAATCTTTGCCTTCGAAATGACCCTCTAACGCCGCCTTCATTTCTTTGTCACTTAAAAATCTTCGTTCCATNGTCAATAATAACACTTGAAGATACTTAGGCTCAAAACTTTTCAGCCGCCCCTCGTACATCAAAACAGTCTGGAGGCGGCCGTGATAGCGCGGCACTTCAATTGAGAATCTATTGCTCACTTAGTTGACCCTCGAGACAGTTTACCCTGGAATCATAAATGATAGTGGCTTTGATACGGTAATTTTTAAGTATTTTTTCTCTAGTTTAGTGAACTAAACATTTCCAGTCATTTCAGGCACTTTGCAATGAATAACGTGTTCAATTCATCTGATTACATAGCACAGTTGATTGCGTTTTTATTATAACTCTGATTACATATTGTTATAGTTGTTATTTTGCAATAACTCTTGACTCTAGAAGTTTTATCGGCACGTCAGTCATTTTTTTTGTTTCAAAATGGAACTTATAACAACTACCTACCTAACCTAGCTGAATATGGTGCTGTTGTGTTTTTCTAATTTTCATTTGTTTTCAACGAGTCAATACATAAGAATAATATACGATTTTGACCAAGCATGTCTTGTAAGTGTTCTAATTTTAAACCAATGCCATTCACTCTAAAGTCTGTTCAACATTTACAAATTGCCGTGTCCAATAACTTGACAAATTCTTTTAACGCCGCATCTGCTTACCAATATTACTGACATTAGTTCGCGTCAAACCCACAATGGAACTGATTGGCCCTTCGGCCTAGTAAGCCTCCCCAGCATATCAAGATCCCTGATCTTCGTAATTTTACTAGAAAACGTCTATAAACCCACAGATCTGTAACAGTGGTCACTAATTAATATTTATAAGGTGAAAGCCTATTTTCTTTAATGTGATTGTCTAAGTGGTGTTCGTGGCGCTAAGTTATAAAATGTTTTAGGATTCCGTAGTCGTTATCAAAAACTCTTTAATACATTTATGATGTTCTTAAAATAATAAGATAATACTTATTGTGACAGACTTTTGATTATAATGATACAGACTTGAATGCCTAGATTAGATAATTTAATACAATATTCTGCGTTACGTTATCAAGTGCTCATTTATTAGGCTTCGATAGTACACTATAACTGCGAATCAAACCCAATAGATAACTGTGTACAATTTGACCCCTTCATTTTTAGTCAGTACCTCACACGTTTAGGCCCGATTCAACCAAACTTTTATCCCAGAATAACTCCTGGTATAACTCGCACATTGACAGTTTCAGTATGAAAAATTTTATAAAAAAAAATATAACCGACTCCAAAAAACCTACACTAAAAAGTAGAAAAATAATTACTAATTACCTACTTATTTATTAGGACGAATTATTAATATTTATGTAGGTATACCATGATTGATACTTCTGGAGTCGGTGCCAAGATTATGAAACATGTAAAGTTTGCCTGCACCGACTCCAAAAGTATCAATCATGGTATACCTACATAAATGTTTTTTGGAGTCGGTTTTATTTTTTTTTTATAAAATTTTACTTATTTCTTGCTTTTTAGTTAACTAATTATTATATTATAAAAAAGTTCATCCCCAATTTTCCACCCTTGGGGGTGAAATATTTTCTTCAAATTCGCATGAAACCACCCTTTTGATAATACCTATTCAACAAAAAAAATAATCGTTCAAATTGGTTCATAATCGGCGGAGATATTGCGTATAAAAAAGTTCATCCCCAATTTTCCACCCTTGGGGGTGAAATATTTTCTTCAAGTTCGCATGAAACCACTCTTTTGATAATACCTATTCAACAAAAAAGTAATCGTTCTAATTGGTTTATAATCGGCGGAGATATTGCGTATAAAAAAGTTCCTCCCCAATTTTCCACCCTTGGGGGTTGTTTTTTTACTATTAAATTTAAATGGAACCACCCTTGAGGTATTACCTATACGCTGAAAAAAGATTTGTTCAAATCGGTTCATAATTGGCGGACTTATCGCGTAACAAACATAGAAAAAAAAACACGGGTCGAATTGAGAACCTCCTCCTTTTTTTGAAGTCGGTTGAAAATATGTCAAAATGTCGAATAACTGACGATTTATCTTGTTTGGTCGAATCCATCCTAATTATTTTAGCAAATGTCAAGTTTATATTACATACCTAGTTCCTTACGTTATTTCCATATTTTTCATATTTTCATCTGCTGATATCACATTGGTATACAACAGTACAGAACCTACCACTTATTTTTTTTTGTGTGATACGTAATTTTCAACTCCGTTACGCAAACGCCTCCGGGCTCGCATCTAGAGAAAGTGATAGTTTTCCACGTGGCCCTTAGTGACTTTAATTAATTAATCCCATCTTATATTGAGGAAACGTTTCCGAGTTTTTTACAACAAATTAATCACCATTTATGGCATTATGTAACTTTTTATAATTGCCTGTGTGACAAACGTAATAGAAGAGGACGAGGATTTTTAGTAGGTAATTTGTAAATACAAAAAATTAAATGGCCCAACTACAATAATTTCAATAGTTGTCATGAATACGCATGCAACTATGCAAAAAAGGGGTACTTAAGACAAAATTAGTGTTTTTTTTCATGTTCCAAGTTTTGGCTTATAAAGGAGAATACATATTAATTGTCATCGACTTATCAAATCTAGGACAGCTTTTTCTCTTATTATCTGGCTAAATGTAATATTTGTGTTGTTTCAGAGATCGAAGCGGCGGAGGCGTGCAAGTGGCTGAGAGCGGCCGGCTTCCCTCAATATGCCCAGATGTACGAAGGTGAGTCATCAGTTAGCAAATCACATCTATTTCATATTCTTTATTTTAGGCACTAAAACTAAACTAAGAAACGCAGTTAAGATGCAAAGGGAGCGCAGGATAAGTAAATGACACGCACGTATACCTATATTCAAATTTAAACGAGACGGGAGTGGTGAGCGATATTGGTATGAGACACAGTTAAGTAGTGAGGTCTAATTATCACTTATCATTTCGTATTAAGTACTTTAAAATAGTCAAAAGTACTTATTTCTTAGTAAAATATAAACAGTGGTCACCATGACAGGTGCGGTAGGTACGGTATCCTGATATTTTCTTACAAATTGCCGTCTGTCATTTCCCAGTTGACAGCAAATGACTGTTACTTGAACGTAACAGAAATCGGTGAAATGTTCGCCAAGTTCCATAAGAGGTATTATTACCACAACGAGCAATAAAGACTTTGAAACAAACACTTGCCAAACACACGCATTGTTTGGCCAAACTTACTATTTGGCCCGACTCAAAGGCTTTGTCTCCAACTTAACTTGGCTTACCCCAAGCCTCTAATCCCACTTACGTAGGCACCATCAATACGCCATAAAGGTTGCCCAGAATAGCCGCTATTAGACCGGGATAACGTCCCGTCCCGACCTGTCCCAACGTACAGATTAATCATATTTACCATCAGAGAAGGCTTGTCCCATATGTTGATACATGGTGTTCTATCATATTATAAACAGATCTAGTTTTTTATTTCGTATTCGTTAAGAAGGCTTTTAGGTTAGGTTAGTCACTGCAATCCTACCCTATTTCTTATTATGGGTGACAAACCGTATTGAAATAATTTTACTGCGTTAAAAAACTTACCGCTTTTACTGTAGACGAAATAATTATACTCAGATCCCAGCCAGTTAAGTTACAAAGAAGTTTAATTAGATCAGATAAAACACGGTCTAGACCCGATATCGATCGAATCTCCCCCGTCCCTTTGCCCTAGTCACAAATTACTTATAAACTTAAGCTGTAATAGACTAGCATTAAAATCCAAACTTACGTTCTTAGTTTGGATTCCAAACTATGGAGTATTCAAAAAGATACTAAAAGAGCTAAAGTTTAGAAAATAGAAATAGAGCAGCCTGTATCGGTCCAGTAACGAAGCCTAAGCGAGCGTACGAGTACGAAGCAAATCCTACTTTTCAATCGACCGTTAGCTGTACTATCCCATCGAAGGAATAGTGTGGATATGAAACCACTTGGTAGTTTAAGGTTAACGTTAAATTCAGATTATGTAATGAGATCACAAATCATTACAGTGTTTTGTTGATTTTACTAACATAGTCTTAAGAATTCACAGATCTGTGTAAGAATTAGTTTTTTATGTTACAAGTTACGTAATATATGTAACTAGCGGCCGCCCGCGACTTTGTACGCGTGGATCCCGTTTTACCCCCTTCATCTATCTTACGCGGTTTAGATTTTTTCATACAATGTTTTTTCCCGCTAACTCCCGTTTCTGTGGGAATTTCGCAATATCCTGTTGTAACTAAGCTTTAAGTTTACTAAGGTATCTGCATGGTAAATTTCAAGCGTCTAACTTAAGCGGTTTAGATTTTTCATACAAATGGATTTTCCCGCTAATTCCCGTTCCCGTGGGAATTTCGGGAATTCCTTTCTTAGTGCACCACTACGGTACCTAAGCTACGTCCCTGCCAAATTTCAAGTGCCTACGTTTAGCCGTTTAGGCTGTGCGTTGATCTGTCAGTCAGTCAGTCAGTTTCTCCTTTTATATATTTAGATAGAAGATAGATTTATTTACGATACGACTTAAATAAAAGGTTTGCTATGCTGGCGTCAATATGGTGATGCAAGCTTGGAATGGCCCTTTACGGCTATGCATTAAAACCTTAGCATTGTAGAGTTTCTTTCAATTTCATAATGATCTGAACTATTGATGAGGAATATGTTGTACGTCATAATAATGATTTAAAAAATGAAAATGAAAAATTTTTATTGCTACACTAAAAAATAAGTTACTTACATGTGAATGGGTACACAGAAATAAAGAAAAAAAGAAAAAGTTATACACAAAAATTTTAATCTTATGATGTTACACTTTTATAGGTAAGCAAAAGGTACCAGTCTCAGCATAATGCTGAGCTACAAGCTCAACGCTGATTTTCAGACTGGCCCTGAAACTGGTCGGTTGGGTTGGGAGGATAGTGTGTTTTTTGAGGCACATGTTAATTTTCTGTGGCGGTGTAGGTGTTTGAGTGTTTTCTAAGTGTTAAGATTATTGTATAATAATATCCACTTTTTCTCGTAATAGATGATACAATCATAGGGAATATCCATAGCGTTCTCAACCTCACCGATGACAATGTAGACTAAATTATCCTTTAATAGCACCAAAGGAGCCACAGGTCATTTTTTTCGTCGAACATGAGCGTAGTTTATTTTGATACACCGTGACAACCCACCATAGATACCATTCAAACCCATCAGATGCAATTGTGAGTGTTTTTTGACGTTTTTGGTTTATATTGTTGATTAAGAATCGAATCAGTGGGAGTTTCTGGGAAAAGATATTTGAAAATAGATAATCAAACATGTAAATTCAATATACTTCGCCCACGTTTAAAAATACACTCTGAGATGACTAATCTTCGATTTTCGGTAAAGTAAATAACTGTAAGGTACGAGCATCAAACGAAACATCTGAAACTAAGTAGGTAAGTTACATACTTATTTAGTTCTCTCAACTCAATACTCAATAATTTAATAAAATAATGTATTTGCTTAAAGTAGACGTCGTAAAGCGAACGAAAACGATTTATTCGCTAAATTTATTTAATATTATTTTCACTGGTGTGTGTTATTCTAAATTACGTTTTCAGTATACTTCATGTGATTTGTTATCAACATATCTATTACACTACTATTTCCGCGAACGTGGTGTAAAATCTATGTAAATGCATTTTCTGACCGACAGAAAGTCAATATTAGCTCGTTACCATCGATAAATATTAATTTCCTTCGGCCGCAAAGGAAATATTTCAATTACGCTCATAATGTACTGGAGTTAAGATTTCAATTTAAATGCAAATTCCTAACAAGTCTATGATATAATACCGCTTAGTTCACAAGGTCTTAATCGTATCTGTTAGATAAGATACGAGGTAAAAAGTAAGGTGTTTTTTATCGATGGATAGTTATGGCAGTTGCAGTGATCCATTCAGCATTGATATTGTAATCTAATCTCAATGATCATTAACGGAAGAGTCCTTTTTAGAACTGATACAATAGAACTGAAACCTGTGTGACGCAAACTACCTTTCATAACAAAATCAACTGGCTACCAAGTATTTGTCATTCATTTCCGAAAACTCAATGAAATATTGGCAGCTCTTTCTCGAAATAGGGAAACCATTGTTATCATTATGAATGTGATAAGCTATGAATCACGATTGAATATTTTCGATGACAGTGTAAACCGACCTTTTGCAAACACAACACGTCTTTTTTGAATCAATTACTATAATTTTGGAGTTTTCCTTTTAAATATTTGTGTTTCTGCGATAGTGTATTTAATTAAAAGTATAGTGATTTAATTATCGTGCCAGTGACATGTGTGTACATTAAAATGAAGTTGCTGAAGGGAATCAAAAGAAAATTTCGTAAATGTTTTCGTTTTGGTATGTATAATTATAATCACACTACTTAATAGTTATAGCGTGTTTACATAAAATTGTTGAAATATGACCTCCTATTTCTTCAATAATAAAATAGTTTAACAAGTTTATATTACGATCACTTACTTTTACCATTAGTCACCTCTAATGAGCTACGTGACACAAACCACGTTATGTTTTGCCCAATCCCTATTATTTTATATGATTTATGACAACACTATTAAACTAACCGCATTCCAATGATGCAAAATCTACTGCAATAAAAACGGCCCTATTGCGTTCAAATGACATAATTTACAACAAAAGCACAAAAAATGCAGTGAAAGTGGCCAATTGTCCACCCACGGGTGCGCCCACAGAACCGTCGTCAAACAACAATAAACTATCGCTTACGTCACTCAGAGGCAAACAAAACATAACCGATTAGCGTTATCTTGAGCACAGGTAAACATTCTAAGGAATGACTAAATTCTTCACCTTGTGCGCAATTATCACCTCTAATAACTCACTTTGGAGGTCGAAATTACATCACTGCTTTTTTGCAGGAGTCTCGGACCACTTATGCACCGATTTTATTATTCAGTTCCCATCTGCGAGTAACTTCCAACTTTACCTGTTCAAAATTAAGGACGTTTTTTGGGTATTTCATGTGTAAGTCTACAGGGGGTCCTTTAACTGACAAACGGCACGTATCTGTCAAAATATTTTTTCCTACGACCCCCGATTGGTGCAGGTAACTTTGACCAGTTTATTCCAGTGTGTCGGTGCGGTCAGTTCTCAATTTTGCGGTTTTTGAGTGAGGTGTGTGTTCAATTTTGTATGGATCATTACCAGTTTGACGTTTTTAAAGTGCAGTGTTGAATTATGTTTGGAAGGACTTGAAGTAATGACTATCAGATGTCATCCCGTAAGTTTTAGAAGATTAATTGCTTTAGTTTAATGCCAGTATTTCAGCTGAAGTTACGTCTGATCACGTTATTAATAGTTCGTATTAGATTAATTTTTTTGTCACCGGTGATTACTTTTATTGTGTCATGTCATTAAATTGAATAAAATATCTGCTCTCACACCCTAGATGACTTACCCATAGGCATATAATAAGCTTAATATCTACCTAATGACACGTTGTGTCAGAAAGTCTGAAATAAAGCTGTATAAAGTTCTCTTGAAGCAAGACTATGCCAGAAGTAGTATTGAGCAATAATTTCAGACTTCCAACTAACTGTAGCATTCAAAGTTCAACTTCATGCTGTATAACAAACTAATTGCAGTTGGCACTTGGGTTCTGCTACTGACATAAATCTATGAAAAACTGTTTGTAACTACGCT